GACTACAAGTCCCAATTTACAATGTAAATAGTGTAATGGTAACACCAAATGAGTAAGCTTAATAAATTATTTTAGGAAATTCCAAAAATTGAAATGTGGGAAATTTCTTGCCACTCCTTTGCTTTACAAATAATAAAAAGATGTTTCCTCACAAGAAATATGACATTTTTTTAAATTTGTTTTGTTTTGGTGGAGGAGAAAAATGTAAATCCAAAACTAAAAATTTAAGTTTTCTTTCTTTGTTTCCTTGGAAATAGGTAATGACTCCCCAGTAACAGAAACAGTTTGTCCTAACTTAGGCAAAAAATACAACTTCTCTCCTGTCTCACCGTTTTCCCCTCTTTGTGTAACTGTCTTGGTGATGTGGTGTCTAGACTTCTTGGAGCAAGTGATGAAGTCTGGAATTTATTCTGTGGGTTTGACAATGGCTAGCCAGGTCTCCTGCACACATGGGAAAATCTGGTGCTTTCAGAATACATAAAAATCAAACTGTTTACCAAAAAGATAAAATGTATTCATTTAGGTCAAAGTTTGTGCTGCATACTACAGGGAAACATTATGTGGACTTGCTCATTTTTATCTGTATCATCTCATTGTGATGTTGTTCCCACCAGTCATGTCAAAAAAAAAAAAGCAAAATAATTTCTACTCATGAAAGAATTATGGCAGATTCTAGCTTTTCAGAAATACCTGTAAAATAAATTAGTTTCAAGGATGCACATCCATTCTTGTTACGGTCTTCATAAGTAATCCAAGGGAATTTATCAAGTCAAAGGAGCACTTTTTTTTTTTTAATATTATTGGTTCTTAGTCCTATGTCATTTGCTGGCTGGGAAAAAAATGAAAGCAGCCTCTGAGGCATCCAGATCTAAGCAATTTTTTTGTGCAGCCCGGATTATTAAATCTGACTGTAGTGTGTCTCTTAAGGAAATCAAGCTGTGTGCTTGCAAAGAAAATGCAGGGTTATTTGTCACCAATTACCTAAAGCTGAGAGTTGATCTTACACGTAGCTGTAACCATTTCCTGTAAGCACTTGCTCCTAATTTTACAAGGCTGTCACTTCCTGAGGCTTTACCCTAGAAAATATATGTCTACTAAGGGAGAGTTTTATTGCAAAAGTTTATCCAGAGATAATAGTCTTACAGGGTGTGAAACTCCATAGCATCAACCTCTTTGAAATAAGTGTCTATTGCTAATTTTCAAACATCCTTCTCGAGCACTGCCTATGAGTATTTTTCATGACAAAAGAAAAATAAGCAACCCGAAAGTAGTTTCTTTTTCATTAGCAGATACACACACACAACACACTGAACTGAGCTACCTCATTTACACTATAAAATCTCTACTGCTTTTCTTCAGAATAGCAGCATAAAAAACAAGTCAAGTAATAAAATAAGTTAAGCATATGGGGTAGCCCTCCGAGAAGAAAATGAGGTATTCTGAGTATAAAGTAAAATTTTAAAAAGTGTGGAAATTAAATTACAATAAAAATGTTAATCATAGGCATATTATCCTACATTTCTTCAGTTATTAAAGCCCATTAATTTAAAAAAAACAGTATCTGTATTACATGGGAATGATCAAAAGGAAGCTCTTAAGACTTTACTTATTCCGCTTCAAAGGTAATGAAGTGGACTGAAACGTGTGCTGAATTATAGGTCAGAAGAGCTGGAGTTTATTCCCCTGATATGTAGGTCTCAGTTTCTCAACGTGTAAAGTGGGTGAACCATCCTGCCCAGCACCCAACATTGTTCTAAACAGAAGATAAGTGAGTATTTACGCCATAGCAGTTCAGTTTAAGTTGTGTTTACACTTCGCTGAATGTCACAGGAGGCATGAAGATTTGCTGATTCAGTTTTACTGAACAAAAACACCCATGAGGTTTGGAATAACTCAGAGTTATCTGAAGAAGCTTACCTAAGAATTACGGAACATGCTTTCTCCATCAGCTACACTGCTTAGGAACTCCAGTTTGGCATGAAAAGTCTAAAAACTGAGATAGCTTCTCCTGTGAGCTGTGCTGCTAAATCTAGGTCACAGAACCACCTCCTCAAAGATGCTGAGAGTGGATCAAAGTCCGGTCCCGCAGAGGGGTACCAGTGACGTCATCGTCTTACACAAAGGGTGCACGTACTCACTTACTATGCCAGTTGCAAAGTGTGGAATTACTAACTCTATAATAGAAAATAACCAAATCCATGATGGTTTATTCTTTTACTAGTCAATTACAACTCTTGGAAAATATGACCAAAGAGTTGTATGAACTCCGTGTTTAGATAATTTCTTTTTTTTAAGATTTTATTTACTTATTTTAGAGAGATGGAAAAGGGAGGGAGAAAGAGAGAGAGTGAAACATCAATGTGTGGTTGCCTCGAGCACACCCCATACTGGGGATATGGCCTGCAACCCAGGCATGTGCCCTGATTGGGAATCAAACCAGTGATGCTCTGGTTCACAGGCCTACACTCAATCCACTGAGCTACACCAGCCAGGGCTAGATAATTTCATCATTGGTAAAAATATATTCCCACTTACTACAAATCTACTAGGATTTTTGAGATTCAATTAAAGAAGAATTTTTCCGATATATGTTCTTTAAAGCATGGGTCCCCACCCTCCAGGCCGTGGACTGGTGCTGGTCTGGGCCTGTTAGGAACCAGCCACACAGCAGGAGGTGAGCCTGAACATAATGCGCTTGAATCATCCCAAACCATCCACCGTCTTCCCAACCTCCGCCTTATCCAGGGAACTGGTCCCTGTTGCCGCAAATGTCGGGGACTGCTGCATAGAGCGCTAGTTCTAAGCAGAATTATTAGGTGCTACAAAAAAATGTTTTAGAAATGCTGACCTTTAACTAGACTTCAGTAAAATATGATTTCTCAAGAGTTTTTTTTTTATTACGTGTCAATATCAAAGAAGAGAATATATTAGGCAGCATTGCTCAAATGCGTTGGAACATATAAAGCTTTTATCTCACGTGAGCTTGCATTCTATAAAAAATGCATGGTAGGAAAACCTAAATCAAAGGATATTTAAAGCCTGTATAACACAGTCAAACCACCTGAAGTAGTCAGGGGACTGTAATTACCCCCCAGCACACTCTCTAAAGCAGTTTTGTTGGTAATGCAAACACCTGCCACAGGGACCTAGATGTGAAGTAGTAATTGCTGAAATGTGACTCCAGAGTTCTGTGCTATTTCAAAAAAATGGATAGCAATCAGGTACCTGAATAATAATTATCTGCTTATGGACAATGAGTGGGATAAAGTATTTATTTAAACATTATATAAACATAGTATGGGGTTGGTGAAATTAATATCTATAATGAGCTCAGAATTATCAGTGGCTAAGAGGCATGCAAGACTTATCATTGGAAGTGGAAGGCTTTCTACTCGTATCCTTTTATTCAGCCATTGGACAATAACTTACTGCGAATCAGGCATTTGGTATGTTAGAGGATGCAGAGGCAAGTAACACTTAGCCCATGTCTTCAGGAGATAATAGTCAGGATGATTGTAATAGAAGAGAAATGAATGTTACGAGATCACAGAGGACAGGGCGCAGAAAGCTCTGGTAATTTTCAGCCGTAAAGCTAACTGAGTAATACCACCAGCTCTTTCACACAGTCGCTCTTGGTCCAGGTTACAAGGCTGTTTAACATAGATATGAATTGCACTCAGTTGTTATGGGTAGCAGCTAGAATGCAGAAAACCGTTTGTTTGATTTGGTTTGGAGTTGTTTCATTAAGGTTGTCTCTATTTTTAGGAAATAGGTACAGAAGGGCAGTGCATAGTTTGCAATGGAGATGCATTTATTCCAGAATTGCTTTACTGCTATAATTCTCCATAAACACTGAATAGCAATTGATAAGCTAGTCTCCATTCAAGAATTTCTCTTGATTCAGGTTCATCATGCCTCTTGGATACTGAAAGTACCAAGATACGTTAGACAATAATTTAGGCTTTGCATATTTATGCATGGCCTGAGTTTTTGAACTCAGCAAATTTAGAAGAATAGATATTCACAGGCCTGTGATTTTACACAAACATAATTTTTCTAACCTTCATGAATTGAGAAACATTGTCTTCATTAGATGATTCTGATTCTGAAGTTGTGTTATGTTCATCGAGTTTAGAAACTCAGAAATGTAGTTGATTTTATAGAAAATTCCATTCTCGAAGAGCAAAACTTTGAAATTATGGGTGGGAGGTTATAGTAGAAATAGGAACATGGGTCATACATTCTATAAGGTGAGCATGTAATTTTTCTGCAAAAATACATTTTGTCCCCAGTACATGTGTTACTGAATGCTAAAACTTAGTGAAACAATGATCTGAATGTTTCAGTGTTTATTTGTCTGAGGAAAACTTGGAGAGTTTAAGGAGTCGATAAGGAAATCCTGGTGGTGACAGGAGGACGGGCTGGAGAGGGGAACAAAGGGGGTTCCAACAGTCTGCGCAACACTCGTGGTTTAATACATAAAACAGTGATGTGAACATGACAAAGTGATGACGCTTGCCAGTTCTGAACGTTGCTACAGAAATATTTCTTGCATTACTCCTCTATTAGTTTTATTTAGACAAGAAATTATTACTAACAATATGATTCATTCATTCAACAAATAATTTGTTGAGAGCCTACTATAGGATGGATGCCAGCAATAAAATTGAGAAAGAACAAGGACGTTATCCCCGCCCCCATGGAGTTTATGTTTTAGATGTGAAAGTGAAATATTTGAGACCTGATATAGACTGTTTACAAAGACAAAGTGAGCAAAAGGGGGTGAATGAATTTGTACCGTTGCTGGAAGTGGGCTGCTATTAGTACTGAATCAGTAAAAAGAGGCAATTGTTTGCCGAGAGGAACTGCATTATCTTGGGTCAAAATAAAGTTTAACTTGCATCATGCTCTGGCCATGGGCCAGATATCTCATGTGACATCTACTTTTCTCATTGGTTGCAATCCCAAGTTCACCTGCATTTTTCTTTGATTCCCTCTAGTATATGACTGCTGCCGCTCCTATGCAAGGGACCTACATTCCCCAGTACACGCCTGTGCCTCCGACAGCTGTTTCTATTGAAGTAAGTCTGTCTCTGGGTTATAGAAAGAGGGTCGGAGAGATACATCTCAGCCACATACACTGCGGTCCCCATAACCCAAGGAATCCTTATGTGTGGTTTTTGTGCTGCCCTGAAACTTGAAATTGCTAGGTCAGTATATAAGAACGCATGCCTTTACTTGGACAGGCCTAGGTTTTCTTTTGCACATAAAATAAGTTAGTTTGTTAGAAAGGTATGTGGGAAGTGTCATTGTCATATTTAGAGAAAAGCTCGGAGACCAAATCTCTACCCTATCAAATGTTCACCACAAATACCCATAAACAGGGAGGGGAAAAAATGTTTGCAAATATTTGAATGAGCTGGTTCTCCAGTGCCTTGTTACTCAAAGAGTGGACCAGCATCGCAGGCATCACTGGGGAGCTTGTTCAAAACTGCAAACTCTCCCATGTAACCCAAACCTACTGAATCAAAATTTGAACTTTAAAAAAAATTCAGGTAACATTGCTTTATAATGTTATATAGGTTTCAGGTGTGCAACATTATATGTCATCATCTGTATATACCACATCGTGCTCACCACCAAAAGTCTAGTTTCCATTTGTCACCGCATATTAGATCCATTTTGCCCTCCTCCACCCCACCCCCCCTTCTCCACAGGTAACCACCAGTCTGTTGTCTGTGCCTATGAGTTTATTTTTGTTTGGTTTGTTTATTTATTTATTTTTGTTTTATATTCTTGTTGCGCGTGGGTCACCGGCCAGCAGTGACCACGGAACGCTGTGGATGGCTCGCCTAAACACATGCGAGAAATAACAACATGCACAGAGACAAACTAGTTTCTGTGGGGAAGTAGGGATGAAATGGCCACCCCCCCAGTGGGGAGCGCGCTGATTTACCGTCCATACCTGCTTTTATTAGGCTCATTTTGCATAATAATTCAGGTAAAGTACAGCACTCACCAGGGGAAGTAAGGAACTATAGAAAACAAAGAACTCTGCCGGTCTATTGAGCTGGGGGTCAAAGAGCTGCAAGGCTGAGGAACAAAATAACTTCCTCCTAAGACCCTTCTCATTCAACTGAGGGCATTCCAAACAAAGAAGGTTTCACAGTAATTTACATGTTCTTTCTTAGGCCTGATCACCCCGGGAAATCTGCACTTCCCAGTACCGAGCTGTACTACCCTGTCATTGTTTCAGGCTTAGGTGGAGCACGGGAACTAAGGCCACCGAGAGATAAGGAGATTTTCTTCCGGACGCTGAGAACTCAGACTTTGTCAAAGCCGAGGAGTGAGGGTCCATCACCCCCTTTTGCTGCAGCCCCCCCCAAGTCCTTCTTTTGGGGGGCCTCCCAAAAGTGATCGTGCCTGGCTTGGGTTGTTCCCCCGTGGGGGAATCTTACCCGTCTTTGGCTAACCGACCAAGCTTTTTGGGGTTCAGCAGCAGAAGCAGCATTCCTGCCAGGGAGATAAGCTTTTGTCTCCTTGCCGGCTCACGGTTCCAAGGGCGTTCCCTTAGCCTTAGCCTAGGCGGGGGTTTCAGCCTCTGATACCAGTCAGGGCGGTTCCCAACAATTCTACATATGAGTGAAATCATATGGATTTGTTTGTTTTTTGTCTTTTTGCCTTATTTCACTTAGCATAGTACCCTTCTGATCCATCCATGCTGTCACAAATGACAATATTTTGTTTTGTTTTGTTTTTTTATGGCTGAATAGTATTCCATTATATACAGGGTGGGGCAAAAGTAGGTTTACAGTTGTGAGTATGCAAAACACAGAATTTGTTCTTGTATTATTATTTCTTAATCATTGCTTTATTTTCCATGCAGATGACTATTAACGTACTTTTACCCCACCCTGGTGTATGTATACCACATCTTCTTTGATCCCCTCATCTATTTGGTGTGTGATAAATGTTAGCTGCTACTGAGGCTTGGGAGATACGGACATTTAAGAGGATACTACAATATAATACAGGAACCCACAGAGGTCCAATTTTTAAATCTTTTATGTGTTCCAGACCCAGACCTGCAGGCCCCAAGGAATGTGTCAGTATTAAACATATTTTAATAGGATTTTCAGAATTTTAAGCCTATGTAATTAAAATACATTTTGTTTGCCATATTTAGCTATCAAAAGCATGTAGGACAGGAGGAAATTATGAACCTGAACATTTAAATATAAATCTGTACCACATAGTTGCATTTCTCTATCTCTGCACCAAAGGTATATACTTAGCTACAGAATTTGAGCATTTTGATGACTCTAAAATAAAGAGACACATTTGGTAGTGTGGCTTATTGGAAACAGCCTAATTATAGTTAAATCTAGGATTTAAAAAGAAGTCATTTATGAATAAAAATAGAAGTACACTGACACATTGCTTTGAATTTATGCTCATAAGGATAAATACTGACTCATTTCCTACATAAAAACGCTCGCTGAACATTCACCAGTATCCATACAAGTAAATACAGATGGAAAGTCCAGAAAAAAAAATGCACAATACCAAATAGTATTAGGGAAAAATATTGGATTAATATGCTGAGACTTTTCCGTTTCTAAGGAACTCAGGGATCTTTAGTGATGAAGAGCTGACCAAGAACATTTGAAATCCAATATCACTGCAGGTGTCCAAGGCTATAAGTAAAACCAGGAGAATATATTCAGACAGATGCCTTTTTAAGCCTAGTAATTACCAAATAAAACCACCTATGGCTCTCTGGGAACCAAACATATGTTCCTAATGACGACCAACTTCAGAAATTCATTCTTGTTGACATATGTGAGGAACAAGGAAAGAAAGGGCGAGGGAAGGAGAAAATCAAAATTAAGGATGTTTGTTTGGCTCTTTCTCTGAAACCTCTAACTGAATTCCAGGTCATATTGTGAAAAACAAAGCAAAATAAAACAAATCAAATGGCTGAAGGGAGACCTCCTTAACAGTATTCTTTTAAAAGAATTTCAAACTTTAATGGAGATTTTTTATTAAGGTCAGAGTTCATTGTTTTGCCAGATCTTAGACTTGGTCCAGGACACTATCCCAAGAAAATTATTCAATATACAATTTTTCCTGCATGAATTTGTTATTAATAAATTACCACTTAGTGTGGCTGTATACAACTACAATTTAAAAGTTCTAAGTGTGGACAAAATGATTTCCTGACCATTTCACTGCTCCAAGGACTTCTGATAGCAAGGTTTCTTGGTTACACATTGAGTTGAATTTCTCAGGCCTTCTACAAATGCGCTCTGTGGTTTTCCTCTGCATACTTATTGTGGTTTCATGTAGCTGAGTGCACTGTCACTCAAGTCAAGTAGAAGAGGGGTATTGTTCATCAGAAAGAGGGATCTTTGCTGAAGCCAACAAGGCTTTGTGTTCTTATTTGCCTTCTTAGGGTGTTGTTGCTGATACCTCTCCCCAGACAGTGGCACCTTCATCGCAGGACACCAGTGGTCAGCAGCAACAGATAGCAGTGGACACATCCAATGAACATGCATCTGCATATTCTTACCAACAGTCTAAGTAAGTTGGGGCTTTACTGAGCATTTTCCCTCAAGAGCAACCGTCTTGACCTCACTCTCTCATGTTGCACCTGTTAGCATTTGCTGCAATGAAGACCCCTCAAACTTAGTGATAAACATTTATTCGGTTCATGCTTATGTGGGTTGGCAGTTGGAGCTGACCTCAGGTGGAGAGTTGACTGGACTTGCTCAAGCATGCAGGGAGAGCTGCTGGTCATTTCTGCAGCTCGACTTCGAGGTGTTGTTTGGCTGTTGATGGAGGGATGGAGATGATTGAGCCACATGTTCTTGACCCTCCAGCAGTCTTATTCACATGGAAGGTTGGAAGTTGGAGAATGAGGGAGGAAGCCAAAATGACCAGCACTTTTCAATTGTTTGTGACTCATTTGCTGCTGTCCCTTTGGCCAAAACACAACACATGCCCAAGCCCAGGTTCACTACCAAAAGGCTTGGATGCAGAAAAGAACACTACAGCAATTTTTACCAAAAAAATTATATATTTTGGAAAAACTCTAATATTCCCACATGAAACTAAATAGTGAGCCTATGTTTTGGTCTCCCATTTCTCATTCTTAAATGAAAACAGGAACACTTTTTTTTCGCAGGGTTGCTTTGAACACCCAGTGACATCATTCATGAAAAACCATACTGTAAAATATAAAATAACAGAGAGCAGGGTGTTATTCAGGAATATATGGCAAAGCAAAAATCACGTAGTCACAACTACTCTTGCAAATCCTTAAATCACTTAAGAAAAGTGGACTTGGCTTTGTATGAAGTAATTATATAGATTGCTGCTAGGCGGAGGGGGGTATAAAGGGACTAAATAGTAATGGAAAAAATATAATAAAGACCATATATTTAAAAAATGAAAAATAAAAATATGAGAGGTTTTGATAGAAACCAAAGAAATTAACAGAAGTTCAGTCCGTATACAAATGTCATGCAAAACTGTTCTACATCATAGATAACAAACAAAGGCCTGGTAAACAGAAAATTCCCAGCAATCCTTTCTGTCTGTACAGCGTTGTCCCCTTTCTTGATCATTATTCTTCTTTAATCTCAATTTTTATTTAGAGATTTGTTGGTTGTTGAAAGATTAATCATGATAATGTAGTCTTTTATATGCGGTTTAGCTTCTAAAGTCACTTCCATGAATTAAATATACTCAGAACATGACTTATTTGTAAATAAGGTATCATCATCATCATAACTACTAACCTGACAAATGTAAGGTATCATCATCATCATAACTGCTAACACACAGCTTTTAGAAAAGATTTATAGTAAATAAGGCATTTTAAAAAATTCACCGATAGCCTGTGTGAATCCCTTTTGCATGTACCAAACAATATGGTAGACTCTGGTGCTTGGCTCCAAGCATATTAGATTTTTTTTCAGTCTTCTCAGCAGACTGTGTGGAGAAAGGAGCAGAGACTGGCAATGTGGAAACACAGTGGAAGATGCTAATGGGAGATGAGAGATACTATATTTGCCAAAATCATTTTTCAAGTCTTGGTGAATAGGTGAAATTGGCCTGCCCATTTTAAAGTGTAATGAGGAAACCCTTCTTGCCAACAATTTAATGATGTCTGGATAAATGATAACTATGCTTTCCTTTGGGCAGTCAGCAAGTATTGATTGAGTGCCTACTATGTGACAGGTACTATTCTAGATGCTAACAAGAGACCAATGAAAGAGGCAGCTGCCTCCTCCACAGTTGGAGTTTATTTTCTACTAGAATGGACTCAGAATCAATGGACCAATCAGGAAATAATCAAAAGGAATCAGAATTTCAAAGTAGACTGCCTAAAAAGATCCTTATGAAAGAAAATGACTAAGTAGATGCCTAAGATTTGTATCTGGGAAGGTCTTTCCTTTAGGGCCTGGTCTGAAAGATAATTAGAGGGTATTCTTGGAGAGTTTGAGAGCAAAAGCATTCTAGACCAATTCAAAGATCTGGAGTGGGCACCTGAGGCTAAAGTGTGGTGGACAGGTCCACAGGAGGAAGAGTTCTTGGAGGTGAAGTCAAACAGGTTAGCTTTTACAGAGCCTTTGGTCCTTCAATACTTCACTTTGCATTCAATAATTATTCTTGGTTTTATGCTAAGTTCAGTAGAAAACCTTTGGAGGGATTTAAGAGAAGAAATGACAAGATTTTATTTGTATTTCAATGACTCTATTACCAATGGAGGCTGAGTATAGAGAGATGTATTTCAAGGATGGCCTCCAGGTGGTAGATTCCCCCCTCTTGTAGTTTTCCAGAACCTCCTCCTCTCCCTGCTTTAAATGAGCTTGAGCTGCCCCTGCTTGTCAGCCTGCAATGAGATGATCTGCCTCAGGGTTATCTGGACCTCTCCACGATGAGATGGATAGGCAAGTGCTCTGCCTGACCCATCCACCTCCACACGTAGGCCCTGTTTTACTTGTAGGACCTTGTGCTGGGTACTAGGCTAAGAGACAGGATCTCTGCCGTTGAGGATTTATAGTCTAGTGTGGGATTTAAATCTATACATAGACAAGATAAGCAGATTTCAAGGAAGAAAATGAATAGGGCTCTTTTTAAAAATACTGTAGTAAGTCATAGAAGAATGCATTTAATTTTTGGTGGTTGTATAAGCTTTGGTGGAGGTTGTGGCAACAAGCACTCTGTCTTACAGGAAGGAGAAATGTTCCAGGTGTAATTACATCTTGACCATATCCAAGGATGGGAAACCTCAAAAGAGTATTTCATTGAGAAGTAGATGCAGAGTAGTAGAATAGTGTAAGAAGGCAGATTGGACCCAGCTTCTCATGTCAGGTGCCATACTGAGATGCTTGAATAGCGTTTTCTTTGTTCTGTGCATGTTTTTCCCACTGAAGTAGACAATGGATTTGGAAGCAATGGAAATAGTCCTGTTATTGCAATGGCTCAGACAAAAGGGGACAGAGTTCTGAAGTAGGATGGTGGCAAGTGGAATGGTGGGACTGGGTGGTAGGCAGTCATAGTGAAGTAAGAAAAAAAGGAGAACAGGATTTTTAAAGTTTAAGTAATACTATGGAGTTCATGATGCCACTGACAGAGGCAGATGAGACAAAATTAGGAGGGCGTGATTAGTGAAGAAAGACAAGGAACTAATTATTCTGATAATGAGTCCATTCAAAGAAGCGTCATTCCTTGAAATATTTGAGGAAGTCTGAATCTGACCTCATAAAATTTTAAGTGTTCAAGGTTAAAACTGGTAGCACCATGGTTATGTTCTTTGAGCCACAGGTTCCTAAGGTTGATAATGAAGAGCTCTCCACAGATAATAAATATCAAGAATAGAAGTCCTCCATCCCATGTCCCCATAGGGGTAACAACTATGGTAAGGCACTTCCTCATTGAAAGAAATTTTCTTTTGCACTCATGCAGGACCATATGTTACAGGATGTTCCACAGGGCATACTCACTGCTGCAACATGACAGAGACAAAAGCACCCAGGAACATAAGACATTTCAAAATGTGTGACCTGTGAAAACTACTTGCATTGCTTTGTGGACATTTGTTTAAACCCGGAGAAAAAATTTAACAGGTTCTGTTTGTATTCTCAACTTCTTCCCTTTCACAATGCTACAAAGTGCAAGGAGCTTTTGACTTGAAAGAACAAAACATTAAAATATTGAATGAAAGCAAAGACAATATCCTAAGTCTGATAAATAGGTGGATGGCAATCACTTCTGAAATGTTATAAAAGGAAGACATTAATGTGACTCTATCCAAGTTTTTATCAGTTTCAGCCAAGGGAAGCTGACCTGTGACATGGTAAGACATGAGAGTCTTCAGAACCATTCAAGGAAGACGCTGGAAATTGAGCTCCGCATTTGGGTTATGTAAACACCTGAGTTCGTTTGATTATATCACCACCCCTGTGAAACATTTAGGGATGAAGGAGCACCCACCGTGGCATTTACTAGAGAAACATCCATTAGAAAGGAGACACATGACAATTTATGCCACGTGCCCTGTACACACTTGATACAGCCCCGGTTCTAGTCTTTTAAATAATCTAAAATCATGGAAAATTCACTCAGGTTACATTCTACCATTTTCTAGACGTAGTACTATGTTATCTTTCAAAAGACCACCAGAAATCTACTCGAAATCCTGTTTTGAGGTCAAGTCACAAGGCAATATCCCTAAAGTTATAAGCTACACAGTTCTCTACACAGCTCCACCTCTCCTGTTCATGTACAGTGGCGAGTAGTTCTAAAATACTTTTGACAACCCACGTTATCTTGAGCGCTCCAAAGTTCACCAACGGCACCTTATTTCCAGTATTATTGTGCTGTCATGCCCTTACTTTCTTCCATCAGGCAGCCCATTTCTAGCAATCATTATGTTAATTGAGATATGGATGGTTTAAAGTGCTTGTACAGACCTCTGGCCTGTCTCGTTAAATGATGGCTGACCTCCTGTGGGCTGTGACATTCTGATTAGGGTGCCCATGAACAGTAGTGTAACCCATCATCACACATACATGTAACATCATCACATCTATACTGAAGGTGTTTTTAAAGTAAATTAACAACATTGCAGCAGAAGGTCGCAGGATAAAAGTTTAAGAAATACAAATGATATGCATAGGAATACAAAGATTATATTTGGGAAATATGTCAGCAAATATCTTAACATTCCAAATTTTACTTTAGCAGCTAAAAAAACAGGTTTTCATGTTTTGTAATCATGCTGCTTTTTTTTTCTGTTGTTAAAAGGGACATGACTGCAAAAGAGACTCTGGACTCTTAGCCCAAAAGGGAAAAAAAATGATACCTGTGGTTTATTGTGGAATTTCCATGGAAATTCCAATTCCTGCCCAAGTTATCAGTTCTTTCTTTGTCACTGATGAGTTGTCCCTCAACCCTTCGGAGCCTCCTTTTCCTCTTCTTTCAAGTGAGAGATTGGATCGTTCTCCAAAGACTGTAAATCAGATCTCTAGTCCTGAGGAAGGATTAGCCACATTTCCTGGAGTTGGGTGGGGAGGGTGGTCAGAAGCGAGTTGGGAAACCTAAGTGAATGCTTTCTTAATTGCAGTTCTCTTCGAAGCTATTTAAATGCTAATGACTATGACCCCCTAGAGGGCCAGACAAAATATTTGAAATGTTTTACTTCCTGAAAGATTAGTGTGTCCTGCCCTCCTCCTCTAGCATGCTAAGTTTTATTTTTTTAACACGTCAAGTTATTAAAGAAATCTAACAAAATTCTTTATTGCCCACATGACGATGCTTTTGATGTTAATTTAAAAGATTCCATTCTTTCAAATACTTTTTTTTTTCTACTGGATCTGTTGGATCTCTAACCGCATACTCGGTTTGTTGTGCAGTCTTCCCTGAACTCTGGACCACAGAATCCTTCTTTTCACTGGGCATTATTAAATGGGGCTGATCCGTCAGGAACGGCACAGGAGGATCCTGCACTCTTAGATCAACTCTAAGACTTCTTCCAGCTCTGAAAGTCTAGAATTCCAAGATTATGCTTTGCTACTTCCCAATCGACTCACCGTGCTTTTCTTTATTTGTGTGTGGCAGGGGAGGAGGGCAACGGGGGAAAGTGGATGGAGGAAGACAGGGTTCGGAATGACTCTGTGATCTTAAATTCAAACTCCTAGTCTTCCAACATCCACACTGACCTTAGAAGGCCCTTATCTCAGCCCCAGTACGGCAAGGTCTTTTTATTCTTCGTGTCTTCTCTGGCTGACTGAACTGTCATGACCACCAGCCCCCTGTACATTGTAAGTATGTTAATGATCTGTACGGTGTATCCTTGGCTGCCATGTTTATGTGTCTTTTAAGCTTGCAATAATACAATTTGTTTGCACAGAACGTTACAGTTGGCAAATAATTTTTATGCGCATTCACACGGACACATACCTCTTTTTAATTTGCAGCCAATTTTATTTCTAAAATAATCTCACTGTCCAGCTTAAAGCATTCTTGTCTGCTATAATCACAGCCTTGAAAATTTAGAAAACTACTGTTTTTATGGATGTGCATAAAAATTTCTGTTTTTATGGATAATCAATAGTCAGTATTTAAATGTGGACTTTCATACTTTACCTGGGACAGGGAAGGTAGACGGGAGTGAATTCGGCTCTAATAAATAGCAATACTTTTTTCTCCTTCAAACTTCAGCTAGCGACTGTGACAATGTGAAGTACAACCATTTATTTCTCCTCTTTTGTTTACAAGCAGCAATGAGACTACTTGAAAGATCGAGCAAGTGATGGGAGAGGGCTATTAGAAACATTTGTGTCAGGTTATAAAACTTGACAATAGCTCCAGCCTAGCTCATAAATATGGATGCGTGGAGACCAGTGCACATGCCGCACCTGAGCACTGCAGGTGTTCTCTGACGGTGTAGTCCATTGAGGAAGACACCGTTCATTGAGCAGCTCCTACAGAGATTCATGGCATTTCATGCATTTCCCACTCAATACACAAGAAAGCCAGGGTCGAAGATGGAAGTAGGAGCAAAGAATAGATTTGAAAAATAAAACAAGCAAAAGCACAAAACCATAAAAGATGGATTTTTAGAGATAAATGGAGTCAGTCTACACTTTGCAAAGGCATAGAGAGAGATCAAATATATACCGTGATTATTACTTCTAATAAAATGCCCCTTATTGTTGCTGCTACTATGGAATTTTTAATTGCATTTCTTCTTAGTAGAAATCTCATTTTCCTGCATAACTCGGAAAAATGTATTTCTAGAGACTTAAACTATTAGTTAAAAATGGATATATTCAATTTACCAACTAGACATTTTCCTTACATGATTCTAGATACAAGATAATCTGGGTGCAAGAGCCATAGCAGACTCATAAGAGGGCTTTTTGCAAAGTAGAAAAAGCATTCCTGCCCTGGCTAGGGTGGGTCAGTGGACTGAGTGCCGGCCTGTGAACTGAAAGGTCACAATAGCTTGATTCCCTGTCAGGGCACATGCCTGGGATGTGGGCCAGGTCCCCATTTGGGGGCATGCAAGAGGCAACCAATCCATGTTTCTCACCCTCTCGTTCTCCCTCCCTTCCCCTCTCTCTGAAAATAAATAAATACAATTTATTTAAAAAAAGAAAGAGAGAAAACACATCCCCTCTGAGTCATCGCAGGCTAACTGTCATGGATTAAAACATTGTTGAGGACTTTTTGTCAATTTGGATAAGGCCCACCTGTTCTGGTTGAATGCAGCCCTGCACCAGAGTAAAGAGGTTGGGCAACAGGGCTCCTGTTAACCTGGCAACAGGTTAACCCCACTGGGCTCCCTCAGTCACACATCTCATACCGTGAGCAACCTGTACAACCATACCCAGCAACCTGGAGGTTCCTCTACTAAAATAAGCAACTGGGCATCAGAAGAACCTGCAGAGTGCTGAGGGAAGATGCTTCACCTGCATACCTATGACCTCCGGATACTTTAAAGATTCTTCTTTTTATAGCACGCCCCTGATGTTATTTAGTGAAATTCTGATCTGTGAGTGGAAAATCTAAGAGTAAAGGTCAACCCACTAAAAGCTCAGTCCTCAGTACCATACAGATGAAGCAGGAGCAGAAGACATTATTTGGGCTGGGCTAGGCAAAGTAGCATATAGTAAAAGAGACATTTGTCAAGTTCAACACCTATTATGTGCATACCTCTCTGCCAGACTTCTGGACAATATAAAGTAAAATAGGATATAGTCTTTGCTCTCAAGAATTTGAAATTTCGATAAGATGAATAAGCAAAGAAGAGGAAGAGAAGAGGGAAAGTGAAAAAAACTGCATTGCCCTCTTAGCTGCCTTACTTAATTACTTGGGTGATTACTTAGCGCACAGGTAACATACAACCCATTGCTATATCTTGGGTATGTCGTAGGGACTCACATATTTGCTAAGTGAATGATGAATCTCATGGGAGTAATGAATGGATTACTCAAAGAATTTCTGGGGGCAGCTACAACTTAAGCCAGGTAACAAAAAATAGGTTCCATTCACAAAGGGGATATTTGCTCTCTGGGTGTATTTCTAATATTTATTACATTAGAATTGAAAGATATTCTTGACCTATAAGCCTTGATATTTGATGTGAACATAACTTCTGGCTTGAGTTTATATTTGTGTGAAAGTGGCAGAATTTGACCCTTTAGGCAGCCCAGTATGTTTTTACAACTTCACTGATGACTGTTATTTTTTAAGAGCTTGGTATCTTTTAAAGAGACCTCACTGGAAAAGAGCACAGAAGGGGATTTCAAAGTTGCTTTGATTTAATAACCACTCCTATTCAATTGCTTTCACAGACCATAAACAAGACTGAAGAATGTCCGTCCGAAACTTTGCCTTGAATGAAGAAACTTCATTGAACAAGAAGTTGGCTTCCAGTTTGCACAGGCGTCAGTGGAATGCTTTTTTTTTTTTAATTTTGTACTTTACCCAATGAAAACAACGCGTTTTGTGTGCTGTGCAAATGGGTCCTTCATGTGGCCTGACAGTTTATTTTTTGCCATCATTTTTTTAATTAAAGTAAAAAAAAAAATCCCAGAAGAGGAAAAATGAAAACAAAACAAAACATGGAAGGTTGACATTTTATCAGGAAGAACATTTGAATTCAGAATTGCCCTGAAGGTGTAGATAGATTTTTTTTAACAAAAAATCTGATATCAAGAGGTGGACAAGCAGAAATGGAAACAAATTGTCTTCCTCGTGATTAAGCTACTCTTTCTTTTTTTCCTTCTTGTTTAAATGTGGGTTGTTTTTTAATTTTTTTTCTTAGAAATATTTAGGTAAGGTTTATCTTGAATCTTAATTGCCTTAATTTTAAGGACGTCAAAGGCTCTCGAGGCAAGCTGTCAACGTCTTGTTAAAAAAAATCAAGAAAGAATTGAAATATTGTGCCGGCTTTAACTGGTACAGAAGCTTAAGACTATGAGTTTTTAGGGTGAAAAAAAAACTGTACAGTTTAAAAGAAAATGTTTTTCTTCATTTGAAGAAAATTTGTTGATAAAAGAAACCATGGCAACTGCAAGAATTGGAAAAATGCTGGGACTTTTCCTGAACTTTGTCTTAAGTGTTGAACCATTTGGAAGGCTAAAACATTTTATGGTAAAGTTATTAAGGTTGGTTTAAAAACAACTGCATTAGAAATAATGCGTGTTTGGGGGGCAGAATGCAGAATTTTTTAATTTACAAAGCGTGATTGCTAGCAAAAGCATTAGTGCTTTTTATCTGCAGTCTTTTTTATGAGCTTTACAAAGTTTTTAGTCAGCTTTGCTTGTCACATTGCAAAACCTAGCTTAAAAGCATTAAAAAAAAACTTAAGTAGATAGGAGCTTATGGTCAAAAGTGCAAAACAAAACAAAACAAACAAAAAAACAAAAAAAGCAATAGATAGAGAAATTGTTGACAATTTCTGTAGTCTTTCCTAGTTGTGATCAAATTCAGCCTACGGATGGCCTATTTTATACCAAAGATGAAGTGGCACCCTATTGCAGTCCAGAAGATAGAGGTTGTTTTTCTTTACTTTTCTGTTCAAAATTTTATTTGACCTACATGGCCGGACCAGTTCTTATTTTGTTGTTTGTTTAAACTACCTTCCACTGGTATTTTACATACTGCAAAAAAAATTTTTTTTGATAATCGTGGACAGTAGAAGCTCACACCTGCTGTGCTCAGCAGTTGCAGCATGAAGAGTTCTGGGTACCAACTGATAGAGCCAAGTGGCTTTCGATTCCATGAGCTTTGCCAGTTCTTCGCTAGCTGTCTTGAATAGTGAAACCCGTATTGACGGCCACCTATAAGCTAAGACACTTTTTTAACAGGTTGAAACTTGTTTTCGTGAATTTTGAACTAAAGACACTTCCTGAACCTGGTCTGAAGGGTCACTTGTTAAAAAAAAAAAAAAAGCTTAGTGATATTGTGTTGATCGGTGAGTGGTTTCCTGAAAAGGTCTCATTGTATTTGTAACAATAGTCTTCCTTCTAAATTCCAACACCTCTTGATTTTGTCTTTGCACCTTAGTCTTCGTTGTGACCCACCATGAATAGCCACCTTGATTCCGCAGTGGGGAAGGGAGATCTTCTTTTTGCCTTTTTTTCATTGTACTTTCATATCCTGGTGTTGTCAGAAGAAAGACAAAATAGACCTTTTTATTTCAGCTGAACTCTCTGAGGGAAGTAGGACCAATAAGATTGAGGATTCTGTTAGTGGAATTTAGGTAAGCTTTTGAAATGCTAGTTGACAATCAAGAAATTATATGATTGATATTAATAAGAACCAAAACAATTGGGTTTGATCAATCATTAAAGCCAAAGGGATATATTTGCATTGAGGAGGATGCAAACGTGTGTCTAAAATGAATTAAATTGCTGTAACAAACATCTCTGCATATTTGGTTATGAAATCCATACCCAACCTGTACAGTTTCACTTAAAACAAAAGACAATGAAACGCGGTTCACTGAACTAGGCCCTAGAATTGCTTTCTGAATGAATCATTAGAATCAAATAAGGGAAATTCTTTTCACAGACTGTCAGAGGAACCATCTTAATCCAGAAAGAGGAGGGAAATGCACCAAGTACACTGTGTAGGCTTTTAAAAACTTTTTAAAAATTTAAAAGATAAATCATAGTCCCGTTAGATCAACAGGAGTAATGAGTTTGACTCATATAAAAGTGTCAATATTTCACCATTTATGACATACAAACAAAAGCCTACTGCTGAAATAGACCTGGTTCTCTTATTTGCAACATCATGTACTGGAAACTCAAATCCGAGAAAGACTCCATATCTTTATGGTCAAATTAGAGGTGAAAAACATATCCAAGAAATTGTAACATGCTACAGAGAAATACAAACTGGTCACACCCCTCCTTATGGTTTTTCATGCTTTAGTGAGAATCCAAGGTTTCTCCTTTTTTCTGTTCCATCCTTCAGCCTCTCTTGTATTCTAAGGGTGGTGCTTAAGTTTTATCTTTGAGAAGTGGGCCCCCAAGTTTAAGGGGGTGAGGCAAACATGTATGGAAACTGTATTTTCTGTTTCTTTTTTTCACTCTCTGAACTCTTTGTATAAATAAGGATTATCCTGGGCATAATTCATTTGACTATGAAACCAACATGTTTTCTTTTGTTTCTGTAAAAAAAAAAAACCTTAATGTGATACAAAGAAAGTCTCATTTATACAATCAACGATGAGGCTAAGAGGTAGCTACCATGTGGCTGATGAGTGTGCCTAGGTAACTTCCTGTTTCTATTCAAAACTACTGCTTTATTTATACATTCAGAAACATTTTTTTCAACTATGAAATTTCAATGATCTCAATTTTTTTAAGCCACTTCAGGCAAAAGGAAATTACCTGTCATTTTATGTATCCATGTGTGTTTTGTGTTTGGACTTTTTACATCATGCCATTCTATAGACTATCTTCTTTCTAATCGAAAAGAAAAAAAAGAAGGAAAAAATGGCACGTGTTCAAATTCGCATCTGTCATCTTCCCTAATCATTGTTTTTAAAATCCATGTCTTGGGGGGGAAAGCATCAACAGGTAAGCAGCATTACACTGTATGAAAAATAAAACAAACCAAAATATGTGTTCAATATATGCAGACATCAGAATCCTATTTTGGTTATTTTAAACCTCTTTAGGACTGTACTCATTTGGTTTAAGTATTCTGGTCCACCAGGTTTTCAAGCCTTTTTACTCAAGTGTTCAATTTTTCCTTTCAACTTCAATTGCCAAGATTTCACCTAAAGCTTTGGAAGCAAACTAAAGCCAGAATCCAAGTGGGGTAAACACTATCTCATCCAAACTCTAGTGACAGGGTCAGTGGAGGAGTGCGGTGGTTTTAAATAATGATAAGATACTGTCAGGGGTGGCAAAGTGTGTCGGCAACTGGGGGTTCCTCATGTATGGCCCTGTCTCCGGGAGACGTTATGGCCCCTGAGTGAACTAAATGTAATAGTAGCAGGGGCTGGTGACTCTTTGTCCTTGAACAGTGGCATGTCTTGAACATTGCAAGTGGCATAGTATTCTAAAAAAAAAAAAATCCTCTAGCTGACTCCAGTGTGGTCAGGGCTAGTTTGGTTCCTTGGTAGATTTCAATTGTTCGGGTGTGGTCTCCATGCTTCACTTGAATCAATGTTTCCTGTGACCTTAATGGCTCTGCCCCATTTGACAGCATATAAGACTCACCTTCACCTTTCTCTAATGAAAAACTACATGGTGTTAAAAGCACTCCTCTCAGAGCTGGAAGGCTGAGAGCAGCAGGTGGCTGGATGGAATAGGAAGTTCACTGTACCAACAGAATACAGAAACCCCTTGCAAAACTGCTTTCCAAGTATTTCCAATTCATATATGACCAGGAAAAGTACTTAGTTTGTTTTTTAAAAAAAACAACAACCCTATTTGAATAATTGGTATGCCAATTACATGCCTATGTATCTTTTACAGCCTCCTAAAGCCTCCATTAAGGAAAAGTGAGGTTTCATTTAAATAGCGCCTGTGCCGCCTTCTTCATGATTGAGAAGCTTCAATGTACTGTCTAGACAGATTATATTATCAGTAGGAGACTCAAAGTACATTTGACAATTCAGCCTCATGTTTAATTTGAGCACACAAACCATTACAGATGAGCTGATAAGGAGAGAAAAATTCTTAAGCAGGTTGCAGTGATCATTGTTTTCATATGATATAAAATCAAATGAAAGGATAATATTTATGTATTCGAATAGCAACATTCAGCACATTTGAGGATCATGTCAAAATCAAATTAACAGCTGTCATGGAGCCCTTGGTCTACAGTAGCTCATGCACAGTAGCGGGTAAAGGATGAGATCTGGTTTCCGTGTTGTTGTGGCTTAGCACGCTCCAACCTTCTGAGCTTGCTGGGACTGACAGCCTCTCACTCCAGTCTGCGGGACTGATGGAATTGGAACAAGCTCATTGATTTTGTACACTCTCCCCTTCCTGTGGCAAAATGATAATGGGATTTCATTAATGAATCAATTCGTTCTACAAATGACATTCGCTGTGGCATTGGAAGACAGTTGAGTCTAACTCAAATTTAACAGTTTTTACCAAAATACTTTAAAATATGTAATTAGGCTTTTTATCCAAGTGCTCTTGGGCATGGCTGCCCTCTGTGGATTACATGGTTCAGGAAAGTACGAAAGCTAAATAAATATAAGATCCCCGAGTGGCTCCCCAAATCGTTTATGATGTAGGGCACAGAGCTCTCCCCAGGTTGTTGGTATCTTTTATCTTTGTTTTTATACCCAAGTACATATGCTCCCTGCCAAATACACACACACACACACACACACACACACACACACACACGGATGAATGGATTCTCTATGTTCATTTCTTTGTATTTCTGGGAAGAAAAATCACATTTCAGGAAATGCTTCTTACACCCAGGAAGCGGTAAGGCTGAAGCAGAGGCGAGACCTCGCTGGGAGTCTGCAGGAAGGACCCTGGGTTGCTCAGTCCCACTCTTCCGTTTCCTTCGCTCCCATTGGGAACCGCCCGCTACTGAACCTTGCAGAAATCCAATCGCTCCCAATTTTTGAAGGGCTAATTATCTACTCTGTGGTTTTCTTTTGTCCTTTCTCTTCAACTCTTCAGACTTGGGTCTCTATTTCTGTTTATTAACGTCACCCGGAGGGTGGAAAAAGAAACAATTGGAAATAAAATTCAAATCAGTCTATTTTGCTTCTTGTTGAGTATTGGCTGTTTGAAGGAGTTGAAAATCATTTGTAAAAATTAATGTCAGAGCATTATATACCATTGATTTTTTGTTACCTGTGAGGTCCCTTTTCCTTGTCCCCATCCACCACAAATAATTGAGAGTTGGCTGTATTCTTGCAAAATATAAAGGAAAAAAAAATGAGCAAAGAATTGGCTCCCCTCGCAAGAAAAGCTGTTTTGGTTTTGTTCACTTTTCAAATTTGAACCAGTAGAAAAGGTCAACTCAAAATTCAGTTATGAGAATATAATAGCAGTTCTTGGTTAAATACACACTCCTATCCTTATCTTAAATCTTTCACACACCAAAAAAAAAATGCATTGTTTGGGGGTTTTTGACTTTGCATCACTGTATGAAAGCTGAATGACCTTAACACTCCAGTGGATTTATTTTAAAAATCATTTCAAATTTAAATAGTATGCAAGGTGTAACATCAGTGTTACACTTTATATTTTAATCCCTCTGGTCTTAGATTATTAAGAAAGATGCTCTCTCCTCCTCCCTAAATATGTTACTTCTTCATATGTAAAAAAGGAGTTATTTCATACTTTTCAGGAACTGTAAATACTATTTCGAAGAGACACTTGAAAAAGTTTTCTCCACTCTGGAAATTGATGCTTTCATCTCTTTAAAAAAGAAGAATTAATTGGACTCTTAATTTAAAAAATATATAGGTAAAAGTGTACTGGCTATGAAATTTGCAGTTTCTAAAAGAAAATGGGACACAACTTTAAAAAAAAAACAAACCCTTGTTTCAGGCCATATTTGACTTCATGGAACTTCTGAAGCATCATTTAATTTTGAACTTAATTTAAGAGCTTTTTGTACTGCTGTCTCTGACTGTCATGGAAAGTTCTGTGATTCTCTGGTGTTTCTGGTTTTATTTTTAATATTTCCATCTGTACCACAGTCAAACTAGCTACCATTTCCCCCATTCCTTGGGCTTTCTGTAGATCAGTGGATGTTAGGTTTAAACTTCTGTTTTCTTTGATGAAGCTTTCAATAAAAAATGAAAATAAAATCAACCAAAAAGGGCCATTGTGTTCGTCTTTACCCTCCAGAGATGGGCTGGGGCAGGGGCTGGTGGTGGGGGGTGAAATTTCTGTACATGTTAAATTATAAGTACTGCTGGCTTCCTACAGAATTCCTCAAAGAAAGAACTATCTGTGGACACAAAAAGTGAGAGAGGAGAAAGCATTCTGTTCATGCAAGGAGGCATAAGAAAATCACTATTTGGAGGCTCTAGAGGAAATAGACTTTGGATCTTACTAGGACCTCATACACTCTTCCCACTTTTTAGGCTTCGGGATTTGGTGATAAATATGCCTAAGGTATACCAGCTACTTGGTGTATCTTGTGTGAAGGCCAGGGCATATGGAGTTATATGTAACACTAAAAACATTTTTTCTCGACACCTGTGGCTTTTATCCCTGCAAAGATTAAATTCCAGGTCAACCAAAATCAGAAGTGTCCATTCCTCAAGCTATGAATGGTTATTGATAGTTACCAAATAATCAGAAACTTGATTTCTCTGGTCCAGAATAATCTAAACTAAGTTGGAGCTCCTATTCAAGGAACAAAATATTCTATGCTATAATATGCACTTGGTGTATTGTTGAAGAATATTTAATTCTGCTCTAGAAGACAGGAAAACAAATGTGATGAATAAAATTAATACAATGTGTTAAACACAACAAAGTGAGTAACCTTTAAGAAAGATGAAATAATTAGACCATGTGAGTGTGAAGAAATAGAAAGAACAAGAAAACAGTATATATTTATGATGCACTAAATACACAAAAAGGACCATGTAGTCATGATACCCTACATACACATAAGAAATGTGAGGCACTGAATATTTTTGAGGTCTTAATTAGGTCACCTTTTGTAACCCATAGCTGCTCATCTGGGTAACTGGTAAATCTCAGCTACTTGCCTTTCTGTCTCCCAGAGGGAGCAAGCACGTCTCATTGGCTCCTTCCCTCTGTCCTCCGCCTTGCACAAATCAGATCTCTGGTCCTTGCAACACACCATCCTTGGGAACAGATGATGAGGCCGATGGAGAAGCAGGAGATAGGAACACTGCAGAACATTAGACTAGTGTGGCCTTTCCAGTCCTTTTGCACCCTACCTTAAATGAGCTAACACACTCCATGGATCTGCTCTTGCTTCATGTTGTGGCCTTTAAATTGATTCAGTAAGCCCTGTGTTTTCAGCACGCAACACGGGCAAAAGTAGGTTTCCTGCTCATATGAATAATAATACAATAATTAATGAATAATAATGCAGAATACTCTGTGTTTCGTGCAATCACAGCCGGAAACCTACTGTTACCCACGTTGTATTTTATTTGGCCTGTGAATCTTTCTGTTCCATGACCTTGAGCACAACTTGACCAATAGTGTACTTGGGGGCTACTGCCGCATCAACGTATTTTCCATGTGACATTTTTATGCTTTAGATTATAAGTGCCCAAGAAGGTGTAGAGCTAACCAGCCAGTGTCCAGGTTGCAAGTGTGTTACTTTTATCCCTTTTCCCTATGTGAGTATCTGTTCACATTGTACTTCCGGGCAGAAGAGAAAGGTTGAAATGAAAGTTGGAAGAATGGAATTACTGGAGACTGTAGGAAAGTAAGACTGGAATAAAGACCTTGATTTTAATCTTACCCACATTCCATCTGGGTCTTTTAATGTTTTTTTTATGTTCATTTATTTTTCAGGAATTATAGACTTTTAAGAAGATGATAATACCACCACCAATACCCATATGCATAAAATTTTTGCAGGGCATTTGGGAACTTTCAGAAATGCATCCCTAGGCTTTTGGTAAAAAAAAATCCTTTCTTTCAAGACATAAAGATAAGAGGAAGAAGACTAGAGAATGAAGAAACACAGCCTCTGTTATATAAAAACAAAGGAAACATGATTTCTTGACCTCATATCTATGTATTTTTTAATGTTTTAAAATTTTCTCCCAAAATAACTCAGTGTTGGATCAACTCTCAATAGTTTCAACAAGGTTCACATTCAATGATGCTTTGTTAAAAGGATGCTGACAAAGAGAATTCTTTTACCTTCTCTCCAGAGTTAGCAAAGTGAAAAGTAGCATAGCAGAAACTTAATCTCAGAGGATTTAATTATTTCTAAATTATCTGCACAGGAGTGTCATTTACAATATGGATGAAAAAGTCTCTCCCGTATATCAAAAGGCTGTCTTTTCATTTAAATCCTCGGAGACACATGGTGCATCATCTCTCCCAGGATCTTGGTCCTGCCCTGAGGAAGTTGCAGGTTACTATGGTGACAAAGTGGTCACCAGGTGGCGCTGCTGCATTAGTGTCCAGTGGATTCCAAACTCAAATCCAGATTCTGTATTCCTAAACAAAACAGGTATGGTGAGGTAGTGATGTGAGAGCAAGAGCCACATTCACTGAGCCCTAACTATGTGTCGGACACTGTGCCACGCGTCCCGCATACCTGAGTTCACACAACCCTCGCAGGAGTGCTCTGAGTGGGTACTGCTGATGTCCCCATTTTCCAGATGAATTTTGGAAAGTTGGGCAACCTTCCCAGGAACCTACATCTAGGGAGGGCTAAACTGTATTTTTTAAAACACAACCAAAACTCAACCCCTGGGTTCTAAGGTTTCATCTTCCACAATGACTTTGGGAAATGCCAATGTGAAGACATTTTCTTTTTCAGTATCTTTTTCAAACGTTCGCCTCCCTTGGCCTGAGATTATACGACCTCTGTAGAAGAGGGCATTGGGCGTCATTCTAATCATCTTGGACACAGAAGCCCAACACAATTCACATTTTCCATCCCAGAAATAACTTGCTGTTTCAATCATCTCTGTGATTTGTTCTGGAAGGAAAGAACCTATCTACCAAATAGATAGGCATAACTTTTCATTGACTCATTCATTTAACAGTGCCCAGCACACGGACACTCCATAAATATTATAATGATACAGAGATAAGGTAGACATGGTTCTTGTTTACTGGAATGTCTATTCCAGTAGGCAGGGGCTATGACAACACTGTCGTGTGAAATAACACCAGGGAACTTTGTGAGCAATATGTTTAACCCTTTCGTGGCTGGATGCAAAGTGGATGGACAGCTGCCTGGTCTGAATGTAATCGTCTGCTCTCACCCACACTTACGGAAGGTCTTCCAAGCTCCTTGCCATTGCCATTTTCTTTCTTTTTTAAAAAATATATTTTATTGATAGTGCTATTACAGTTGTCCCATTTTTTTCTCCCTTTTATTTTCTTCTACCCTGTACCCTCCCTTCTACCAGCATTCCCCCATCTTAGTTCATGTCCGTTGAACACACAGATAAGTTCTTTGGCTTTTCCATTTCCCCTACTGTTCTTAACCTCTCCCTATTTTGTGCCTACCATTTATGCTTCTGTACCCTGCACCTTTCCCCGCTTTGTCCCCTTCCCCCTCCCTGCTGATAACCCTCCATGTGGTCTCCATTTCTCTGATTCTATTCCTGTTCTAGTTGTTTGCTTATTTTTATTTTATTTTTTTAGGTTAAGTTGTGAGTTTGTTGTCATTTTACTGTTCATAGTTTTGATCATCTTATTTTTCTAAGATAAGTCCCTTTAACATTTCATATAATAAGGGCTTGGTAATGATGAACTCCTTTAACTTGACCTTATCTGAGAAGCACTTTATCTGCCCTTCCATTCTAAATGAAAGCTTTGCTGGATAGAGCAATCTGGGATATAGGTCCTTGCCTTTCATGACTTGGGATATTTCTTTCCAGTCCCTTCTTGCCTGCAAGGTCTCTTTTGAGAAATCAGCCGACAGTCTGATGGGAACTCCTTTATAGGTTACTGTCTCCTTATCTCTTGCTGCTTCTAGGATTCTCTCCTTCATTTTTACCTTAGCTAATGTAATTATAATGCACCTTGGTGTGTTCCTCCTTGGGTCCAACTTCTTTGGGACTCTCTGAGCTTCCTCGACTTCTTAGAAGTCTGTTTCCTTTGCCAGATTGGGGAAGTTCTCCTTCATTATTTTTTCAAATAAGTTTTCAATTTCTTGCTCTTCTCCTTCTCCTTCTGGAACCCCTATGGTTCAGATATTGGAACATTTAGAGTTGTCCCAGAGGCTCCTAAGCCTCTTCTCATTTATTTGAATTCTCATTTCTTCGTTCTATTCTGGTTTAATGTTTATTTTTTTTCTTTCTGGTCCAAATTGTCAATTTGAGTCCCAGTTTCCTTCCTGTCACTGTTGCTTCCCTGTATATTTTCCTTTATCTCATTTTTCATAACCTTCACTTCTTCCTCTATTTTTCAACCATCCTCAGCCATTTCTGTGAGCATCCTGATTACCAGTGTTTTGAACTCTACATCTGATAAGTTGGCTCTCTCTTCATCACTTAGTTGTATTTTTTCTGGAGCTTTGCTCTGTTCTTTCACTTGGGCTATATACTTTTTTTTTTGGTCTCAGAGCACCTGTTACATAGTAAGGGGTGGAGCCTTAGGTATTCACCAGGACAAGGCAACCCACAACGCTGTATGTGGGAGAGGGATCCCAGAGGGAACAGTGCCACTTGCTCGGCTCTTGGCCAGTTTTCAGTCACTTCTGCTACCCACAAGCAAATTGGGCCCTTCTGGTGCTGGTCTGGTAGGTGAGTTTGTGTATTTTCTAGGACTCTGTGGGTCTCTTCAATAAATTCTCCTATGAGGCTAGGAGTTTCTCCCACTGCCACAACCCCCAGAGATTTTTACAGCAAGAGGTTTTGAGGCTTCATTTCCTCACACTGGAACCCTGGGTTGTATGGTCTGTCTCACTTGCCAGTTGTTCCACCCAGTTTATCTGCACACAAATGTGGGACTGCCCAGTCCTCCAGCTGACTCCTTGCCACACATCCTCTCCACCCCAGCTGCCTGTCTCCACCCCTCCTACTGGTCTGGATGAATGTTTCTCCTTTAACTCCTTGGTTGTCAGACTTCCATATAGTTCTATTTTCTGGCAGTTCTGATTATTTTTTTGTGTTTAAATTTGTTGTTGTCCTTCTT